GTTTTTTAACCTAACAGAATTCTTTGCCGACTGTTTTCTCTATAAATGAAGAAAATAAAGTAAATATTTAAGTGTTGTGAAAAGAATCTTATTTAGTTGTACAAAGTACTTCAGAAAAGCGCTTTCGACAAAATACTAAAATAGAGATCTACTACTCACTTCTGCCTAGCTTAATAGTATGAGATTGCCGCAGCTGAATTGAACAACCTGATAATGCTCACTCTGGTTATTGTTTCCGTTTTCAAAAGCGCTATATGTTGAGCCACCTCATCTAGATTTGCCATGTGACATTTTTAGCAGCAATCATTGGTCGATTTTCTAACGTTGCCATTCGGGGAGTTGTAATGAGGCTTTTTTTTTGGTGCCGTGTAAGAGAATTATATATATAGATATTTGACGGACCATGCATCTTTTCAATCGTTTATTTAGACGCAAACATGACCTAGAAAAGGTAAAGGTAGATAAAGGAGAAAACTCCCGCAAAGAGAAAGCTGCCGTTCTCTTTAACAAGAAAACATCTTCTGCTCTGCAAAGCTCTCGTGATAGTGCATGCATGCGCGCGCAAATAGGTTTCCCCGATAAGAAAACCTAAACTTCTGATTTTTTTTTGTAATATTCAATGATTTTTTTACATTTTTATTTTCGCAGGACTTAAAACTTGCTTCTCTTTCCTTACAGTTCAATTTCTTTTTTTCACTTCCCACCCAGAAAGTATGTAACCTTACGGCAACCTTGTGTCGGAATTTTCTTTCTATTGACACAAAAATGTTTGAACTAAAAACCTTATTTCAATAAAGAAAAATATTGCAGTATCAAACCTTTCATCCTAAAAGGATTAAAAATTATTTTTTAAAGCTTCTTTAAAAAGTATTGTCAGTTAAGGTCCATAATGACGTTTTAGCTGACGTCACACTAGCGATAGGATCAAATTGCATTGTCCATTAAAATTTCAAGACAAGGTGGATTTTAGTTAAGCAGACTTCACAAAAAGAAACCTTATAATTAACTATATATAAGATTATTTTCAACTTGAGAATAGCTTCCCATATAGCAAAATAAGGTTTATTTTCACTCAATAAAAACCTTTTAAAGTAAACCTAAAAAGGTTTGTTATGCGGTTTAAGTGTGAACCTTCTAACCTCAAAACGAGATCTGTGACAATGTGCTCTATTCTACGCACATTACCCTTATCCAAAACCTTGGAAAACAACCCTGTATATAAAAACCTTTAATCGACGTTGTGTTAGGGTTTTCACGAGTGAACAAATCCTCGAATAAAGCTAGTTTTAAGGTGAAAATAATCTTAAATCTAGGTCATCATAAGGTTTCTTTTCGCAAAGTCTTGCATGCTCAGCTAAAATCCACCTTGTCACGAAATTTTAATGGACAATGTCATTTGATCCTATCGCTAGTGTGACGTCAGCTAAAACGTCATTATGGACCTTAACTGACAATACTTTTTCAAAAAGCTTTAAAATAAATTAATTTTTAATCCTTTTAAGATGAAAGGTTTGAAACTGCAATATTTTTGCTTTGTTGAAAAAGGTTTTTAGTACAAACATTTTCGTGGCAATTATAAGAAAATTCCGGTACTAGGTTGACGTAAGGTTGCATGCTTTCTGGGCTTTATTGAAGGATTTTTATCAAGCTGAGACAACGTCGTTTTAAGGTTTTTATATATAAGGTAGTTTTCCAAGGTTTTGGATTAGCAGTGTTTCCCAAATTTATGAATTTTGTGCACCCTTTCTAAATTTTTCGTAACGCTGCGTACCACTTATAAAAAACTGAATGTACTTTTTACTTTAAAAAATTTGCACAAAAGTTAAAAATCACCAATAATTGTTGAATGTCAACTCTGCAAAAAAAAAGCCAAGAGAAAAATACGTAATTGTAAAATTCCATGGCTAGCTTTGTTTTTAAATAAAATTTTTTGAAATTCTCGTTTTATGCAAGATATTTCGCATAAGAACGTGGACTTCCGCTAAAGTGTTCCCGTTCCCCTGGGGATACGCGTACCACACTTTGGGAAACACAGGATTAGGATAATGTGCGTAGAATAGAGCAGATGGTCACAGATCTCGTTTTAAGGTTAGAAGGTTTACACGTAAACCGCATTGCAAACCTTTTTAGGTTTAGAATAAAAAGGGTTTTGGTGAGTTAAAATAAGCCTTTTTTTCCGCTATCTGAGTCTGAGGAGTTGGGGAGCGAAGCGAGCAGATTCGGAGCTTCCAAATATTTTAAACTAAAGATAAAGTTTTATTTACTGCAATTGTATTCGTCACTGTCATCTGCACAGTTAGGTGTTTCATTACATACGTCTGATTTCCAGATGCATTGGCCGGTTCCACATCGAAATTTGGTTTTTAAGTCACATGGTCTGGCATGGCAATCGCGTTCGTCACTGTTATCTTTGCAATCATTTTTTCCGTCACAAACACGCCATTCATCAATACAATTTCCATTGTCGCACTGAAATTTGATAAGACAATCTGTAAGAAAAGAAATAAATTATTTACAATAAATATCAATTCCAGTTATAAAAAAGATAACCAAAACTTTTGATTTTTTTTTTAGTAGTATTCCATGATTTTTTTAAGTAAAACAGTTAGCTTGCTTTTCTTTTCTTATAGTTCATTTTCTTTTTTTCTCTCCAATTCATAACATAAACTATAAACCTTCAATCTAAATCCCTTAAGTAAAAAAAAAAAAAAAAATTCATATATTTTTTGTATGAAATTGTGCTAAGTTCATTTCAGACAAGAAACATTTTTTACTAATATCTAATTATTTTACAGGTCGAAAAAATTTAATTTAAAGAATGACATCTTGACGTTATTTTACCCGTTTTCAACTCTCGTTACTTCCTCAATTATTGATCAATATTTTCGTTTATATTGTTCATAGGAAATGTCATGTAACATGTATTTTGTATAAACTTTCTTTTTTGTGTCCAATGATTTCTGTAGTATTGTAGTGTATCTACCATTACAAAAATACAATCCCAATTCATTAGAATATAATGCACGTTAACTCGATTCTATGGATTACCTTTTCATAGATGAAGGTTAATATTTTATTTTTATTTTATAACCGTCGTTGAACAGTCGACCCAATTTCATAGGTTTACGACTACTAACGTTCAACTCCGTAGCCTTGTAATTTTGAACCAATCCAGAAGATTAGGAAACTCCTGGATCAGTACCCCCAGAGGTATTGATTTATTATGGGAACATGGAGGACTTTGAGACTCGACAGATTTAACGTGCATCAGTCACCATTTACTACACGGGGAGTCTTCGGC